GAAAGTGCAAGTTACGCTTTTACCCCATTTTCGGGGAAAGTGCAGAGTAGTTGACATTTTAAACAATTTCCTATCAAAATCAAAATGTACAAGGAAAATTAAGGTCCTAATTAATATTAATTAAATAGTAGTAATTGTGCAAAGCGTTCGATATCGACAGCGTTAAGTATATACATACACAGTAGACTGAAAATACTTACGTTTAAATACCAACTTTACAAAAACCAGTCTGCACTTACCCCACTTCACCTTAGGCCAAAAAATCGACAAATGCCTGAGAGAGCTAGTGCCAATTGCGTAAAGGAGTTATTGTTATTATTCTTATTTGCTGATATGTCACGCGAGCAGTGTTCATGGTGGGGATGGGCGGAAACCGAGTGGCTTCTTTCACTTTGAGTCGGCCTCCAACGCGCCAATTCCTGGGTTGTCGACAGTACATCCATGAGATATATATTCTACATAATTATCAAATTCTTCAGCCAAGAATTTTCATGTCATGATCGGTACCGACTCTCCTCCAAACAAAAATCTCCTCCACAATCGTTGCCTTCACCCTGCTAGGTTTCCTACAGTACTTATTGTTAGTGAACAAGTAAACCTGAACTATTAGATACATTTTAATCTAGATTGATAATAGGATCTAGCTTGATAACTTAACCTATTAAATTTATAACTGCAATTCATATTCATTTGAACGTTTCGAATTTTACGAGAAAATCCTCGAAAAAATGTGACAATAGTTTGTAATGAATACCGAGTTAGTTATACCAATAAAGATTTAGTAAAATTATTTACAGCAAAATAAGTGGTATAATCAGCTATAAAATCAGTGACAGAATTATGTAAAAATTTATGAGACGTATAACGTGCATTTCGCATAAATATTCATGTACTTTCAAGTAGTAACTGTATGGCATTTTTGCGGAAGACATTTGATTGAGACACTGATTAACGGGATTGAGATTTTCCTTGGATATGAATTTTATTGGCAGGAATTAATTTAGTTTGATAAAGGCTCTAATAAAGGAAGTCAATTTTTATGTACTTCCGTTGGAAAAATATTTTGAAATTTTATATTTCTACCTTAGCTTTTATACTTTACTTTACTTTACTTTACTTTTTACTTTACTTTACTTTACTTTTTATGTTACTTTACTTTACTTTACTTTACTTTTTACTTTACTTTACTTTATTTTTCTAATTTGGGAAGAATAAAATGAAAATGTTCCAGAGTAATGTGTAACGTTTTACGGAATATGCATTTTGGAAAATTTTTAAAGGTCACTAAGAAATAACTAGAAAATATCAAAATATTACTTAATATATTTTTATGCAAAAAGATTATTTTTTCTTGGATGTATTTTATTTTATTTGAAATTGCGAATGATTACTCGCTACAATATTTTTAAATTAAAAATGAACTATAAAATGAATATTATATGTTAAACTTATTTATATTGCATTATTTTCTACAGTTCCAAAAATCCAGTATTCCAAAATTCTAAAATTTCACATTTTCAAAGTTCTACGATAAAATTCAAAAATCCAAAAGCGCAAAAGTTTAATAATTCAAAAGTTCTATAATTTGAATGTCTCGATGTTTAAAAAATTTCAAAGTCCAAAGGTTCAAAGGTCTCAAAATATTCAGAATAGCAGAATTCCACAATCTTTTAATCATAAAACCTAAAAATCTCAAATTTCTACAATTTTAAAGTTTCAATGCTCCAAAATTTCAAGGTCTTAAAATTTCGGAATACCAAAATTCAAAGTTCTAAAATTTCAGAGCTTAAATGTTCCAAAATTCTAAAATCTTAAAATTCTAAAGTTCATAATTTCCAAAATTGCAAAATCGAAAAGTCCCAAAGTCTCAACATTGCAAAAATTCCAAAATTTCGAAAACCAAAGGTCCCAAAATTCCAAAATCTGAAAATTCTAAAGTTCATAATTTCCAAAATTGCAAACTCGTAAAGTTCCAAAGTCTGAACCTTGAAAAAATTACAAAATTTTGAAAACTATAAGTACCAAGCCTCCAAACGTTATAAATTCCAAAGGTCCTAAGATACCAAACTTTCAAAATTGAAATCTTGCAAAGTCAAAAAGTCCCAAAATCTCAATCTTTCAAAAACTTCAAATTGCAAAAAATCTAAAGTCTCAAATTTCCAAAATCCAAAATTACAAAATCCCCAAAATTTTAAACAAAATTTCTGTCTAATCGCCATCTTCCTTACGTCCTTCCTTCCCTATCGTGACTCCCGATTAAAATACTCAGTTACTGAACTAGACTTGAACACAGATCCTCGTTGCCAACGTCAAAGCAATCAAATAGTTCTAAGAATGAAAATATAAATATCACACTGACGAACATAGCAGCGAAATGATTACTAATTATCCCGAGTCTCCTATTCCGCGTAAAAAACCGTTGACTTCATGTGAAGAGATGTGTGCGTCATGTAAACACTGAGTACGCGACAATCATTGAATATTCATCGCTATCACAACTTTGAAAGTTATAGATCTCCTCGGTCGCACGTTGCAATTTGAAAGTTTTTCTGACGTTTTTTAGCAAGTATTTTTTCTCCGTTTCTCATCGCTGACAATCGTTATTAACCGCAGAGTAATAACAACGTGACATTAGATCTAATATTACCGAGAGCTAACAACGTGGACTCGGTTGCATTACGTTTTATCTGTCGTCTCTTCGTTAGAATCTCAACGACAATTTTACATCGTGTTTAAAGAAGGAAATACTTCGTATATTAGCTAGATGACGTCGCAACAGCCGTCCGAGGCTAAAAAGTATTAATTTAGGATTGTTATCTATTACGTTAATGGCCGACAAAGTTTTATATTTAAATCAAAATACGGATACGAATAGCCGAATTATCATCCATGCAGACACCTGTTCACCGCAGTTGCTAGTTTCGATTTCGACACGCAATGAGTTTATAATTAGCTAGAATTAACGATAATAGTACCAAAAGATACTTTTTACAGAAACGTACCGATGTCAACCCACAAGTTGGTGCGCGAAGAGCTACGATTGGTCGGAATAACAAAATGGACGCTGGTATTTTCGGCGGTTATTGGCTCGATCACAGACAATTAGACCAAAAATAATGACGAATGAAATAATAATAGTGCAAATTGCTGCAGTTGTCATTATTATTATTTGCTGAAATATAGCGCAAATGTTCACAGTGATAAAGCTTCTTTTACTTTGAATCAGGCGCCATTTTGTGGGTTCACACCTGCGTTTTCGACTCCGAATAGATCGAGTATCGTAAAAATTTCGCTCCAAGCTTATTATCTTAAGATCGAGTTTAGCCAACGCAGTTTTCAGATGGTTCAAC